CTCAACTAAACACAAGCAAAGCCAATATGTGCTGAGATACACTAGGGGAAAAGCCAACAAGCACGGGTGAGAATGACATCGTCCCACCCACCTGAACAATATATCGAGCGAGCAACAATGATTATGCGAAGTAACACGAATCACCAGAGACTGCCAACAGGCAAACCGATGGATGCAGCACACTTCCCACTGTCTGTCCACTACACTGCCAACACACTCGATTCACACTCACACTGAAGTACACAGAAAACAATGATCAATGACTCACGGTATGCTGTGATATTTCTCAGACTCGGTCCACTGGTAATATTGAGCCTGCTGCAACCACGAACCAGTATGTCAGTCATGTCCACTTGACTCAGCTGTGAAGCTCGTGGTGAATGGAACTGCACACTCAGCATGGCTTGCACACCGTCGATCGACACACGATCCACTCCACCTCCACCTCCACTCACATATATCCAGATGAAGATTCGAAGGAAGCTGACATGCACACAGCTGGCACCTCGAGAGACCTCTTCATCACCGATCTGAAGACCCCTGAGTACCTGGAAGATGGAAGACGAGAGAAGCAAGGACAACAACACAGTCAGTCATGTATCTCGATCACACTATATTGAAATGTTACTGTTCCCAATGGTGATAATTGTAGTATGCATAGTAGTTCGATTGCATATGATCGTTGACTTGATCGGTGTGCGCAGAGTCATCTGCACCAATATGCTTGATTCCAGACTGATTGCCATTGGCCGTCGGACAACAGACACACAATTCACGTCTCTATGAATGAAGTCAGACTGACTCGGCTGGCGAACACTACCATCGCGTCGTGCGCAAGAGTGTTAGGCAAGCGAACAACGGGTGGATGGTCGAATCAGTGGAAGGATCAATGCATATCGCAACGCCTACACACAACCATTCACAACATTCACCCACACATTTGCATACACTGCCATGAGCAAACGTGCTCACGCTGACACTGACGCTGACGCAGACGCTCACGCACACACACGCAGGCACACGCAGGCACACGCACAGAGATGAAGAAAATATGGTGAGGATAAGAAATCAACACCTACCAGGTCACAAGACGACATTGACAGGCTCCTGAACTCGGCACTCGACTGATTCAACAGATTGACTGTCCAAGGCATGGGGGTTGACAGCTCCTCAACATAGATGATGACATCCACCTCGAACGATGTGGTCACTACATGTGGTTAAATGAAGGGGGTGAAACGAAATGAATGAATAAATGAATAAATAAAGTGAGTCAGTGAGTCAGTGAGTGAGTGTGTGTGTGGAATGAGTAGAATGATGTGTTCGCCAAGTGTTCACACAATTCTGATGTGACGAGTGGAAACTGTCTGGCTGCTCTCGATGGCTGACGCATTGACAACTGATTTGTTCACAGTCATCTCGTCAAGTCGAAATGTTAGGTAAAGGCGATTCTGGATCGAGTGGGTTACACTCGATTGAGGAAGAGGTGTTGGAGAACAGCTGAACACATATATGGTAACCACAACCTACGAGGCACATGCATGTGCTCATCACAAGTTGGATTTCTGCTGGCCTCCTCACATCTCTGCCAGTCAATCATTCAGTCAGATAGCCAGCCTTCCAGCTGGCCTGTCTCTCTGCATACATTCATGAATGCATACTTGACCGTGTTTTATCATTGTAATCTACTCTCAATGAAGTTGCTCGCTATTCGTGACTTCAATTGACGTTTACTGATGAATGACAATTTACGACTGAAACGTGATTGGAGCGTGGGTGACTTGTCGTAGGCTAGCAGATACACAATGACTAGTAGAGCAAATTTTGCAAATGCTTGTATACTTATGAACTGCAGCTGTCAAACTGCTGAAAGCAATGCATGTTGTCACATCTTGACTTGTTCATCGTTGGCTGTAGAGGGCTACGTTATTGTTGTTGTTGCTGTTGTTGGCGAACGGTGTGACAATGAACTTCAGTTTGCATCCACTTCACTATGGTGAGTGATAGCATGTTGAGAGAGTGAGTGAAGATGAGGAATCTGGAAGGTGGTGGTTATCTGTTCACGCAGTATTTAATCTCAGTAAGGCTGAGAAGTGTCTTGTTGCCATTGATCACTCGAGAAATCATTGTTGGTTTCCTCGGTGCGATGCACTGTTGAGTGTCTCAGATCGTGAAGCTTCATGTGTGGGTTCGCTGTTGAGGTTGACAAGTTGTGAAATCTCTGTGGTATCAGACACGGAAGGAATGTTTCTGCACCTGCAGGACCAGATGTTTCGAGGTTTCTGTAGTTGTTGGATGGTGCAAGTGTGAATCCAGTGTGGTAGTGAGTGACGGTGGCTGTGTGTGAAACAACCACTTGACCACTTCGTGCTAATTCGGTACTATGCAAGGTCAGCTGGATATTCGTCTCTTGTGGCTGACTGTCAGGAGATGTCACAGAATTCATTGTGTCCTCAGATGACATTCAGTGAGCAGGAGACTTTGTATTGGATAATTGATGAGACTTATGCAAGGTGGGATTCTGCCGACCGACATGGATATCAACAACCTAGCTGCTCATCGACAAATGAATCGGGAGTACCGCACTTGAACACTGAGAGATTTGTCAGCCGACAATTTGTATGTGGACCGTGTGATGGACTAGGCTGGGATGTTGTTGATTCACTGCAGTTCTATACATGAGGAAGATTATGAGATGTTTGTCATAGCACTAGAATCATTTGGAATTGATGACAGAGTGTTTGTTGTCCAAACGATATTCAGTTTAGCACTCTGTGTGGATTGATTGGGCCACTCAATCAGTAGATTTGAAAAGAGTGTGATTTTAGTAGGTTGTAGCTAACAATGCATCTTGTGAGTGTATTTTGATGAATGTGGATAAGTGAGTGTGTATTGCATTAGGAAATGGTGGGTGGGTGGCGAAAACACACACGTAAGATCGAACGAAGTAGGAGATGTGGTAATGATAGCGAACAAACAGGCTAGCTGGTAGGTTCATAAGATTTTATGAATGTTAATCTGATGAGATGATAATCGTGGGATCACAATGAGCTGGATTTGACGTCAGAGACCTTGAGGTTCTATCACCATTCAGGTAGCCACATTTTGTGGGATGTCAGAGACAGTGGGACAGTAGTTCTGAAGACATTCTGAGTGTTGAGGCTGGCAAGTGAACAAGACACTTTGACAGTGTCTTTCGTCAAACCTGGATAGGGTAGTGTGCATTGAATTGACATTCGTGAGATGAGTGGCGAAATCTCACAAGCAAGTTTCAAGTAGGAGATAGAGTTTCTATGGTGGAGGGAGGTTCTTCATTTCACGGGACTATATGTGTGTGATTATGCGTGGTTATCCGAATGAAGAAGATGGTTTATTGAATACCGTTAAAGAAGGAAGGAAAGGTAGAAGGGCTGTTATGTATGAGCATGGATTTTGTCCAATGGAGCGTGTGAAGGAGGAGAAATGTGGTTGTGATGTAGACGGTGTAGACGAATCCCACACTTCCCAGAATAGTCAATGAGAGAGAGAGAGAGAGAGAGAGAGAGAGGAGATTGCACCACGATGAGGTCATTGGAATTAGGTGTAATGTGAGTGTGGAATGGAAGTCATAGTGCAGCACTGACACATGAGTTGGATATTTGAGTTGGAATCCAGTGATAATCGTTTGTTTCGGTGTTCAGTGTGGTTGATATATTAGGTGCGTTATGACAAATATGATACGGTCAGCAACTGTGTTCATGCCTGTTGGAATGTGTAGGTCATCCGGAAGTTGTCAGCATGATTTCAACGTGTGTAGTCTGACCAAGCAGCTGTCACATGTTTCTGTTGCAAATTGTACTCCATGGAGTTGATGGAGATTTGGCTTTGCGTCTTTCACTCATTTCTCCTTCGTATCTTCATCGTTTAGTACTTGCAAGTTGAAGGAATGGAATGCAATGTGCGATAAGGCTGTGTTTAGTTAAAGAATCGAGGGTGATGTTGAGCTGGAGATGTTTCGGTGAGATGAAGGATTGTGTGGTGGGAGATGCGTTGGAGTATGCTTCGGATGGAATTGGATGCAAGCATCCGTGTTTGAGATAATGATGAGAAGTGTAGGAAAGCAAAGGAGAATTGCATTGATTAGGCATATCCTGGTTGTGAGATGTGGGGAGATATGGGCTATGTGGTAGAAAACGTGATCAACATCAACTGGTATCAATCAGATGAGTAGTTCGGTGGATATGCCACAATATGTTGTTGTTGTTCCTATTGTGTGAGTGTTTTTTTTATCATCATTTAGCACTGGTGTTGAGAAGAACATCTGTGTTGCAAAGTATCTGGAATGAATGTAGGTGAACAACGAGGATGAATGTTTGCGTATTAGCACACTAGACATCCATGTGAGGTTATGTTATTGGGTTGAGAAAATGACACCTGTCTAATAGGTCGTTCATAGAGGAATACGAGAAGAAAATATATTTTGTGCGAACACTCGGATTTCCTATGAGGTCAGATGAAACATGCCAAGAGCTTTGACGTGCATGAATGGTCTATTTTCTGTGAGGGTGAATGAATTTGGAGACTGGTAACGAGTAAAACGATGATGCAATGAAATTTGCACACAGTGTGAAGTCTTACGTGTGATTAGCGAAATAATAAGACACGTGAAATTGGAAGCGCGATAAGATGTAGCTATTGAAACAACCAAAATTAGGGTAAGCCGTGAGAACCGAATCCTGGAAGAGAGAAATGCTGAGTGAGAAAAAGTAGAAGAAATAAGTTGATAATAGGGGTGAGGATGGAGATTCCAGAGATCAGTGAAGAATAATGATGAAGGGCATGGAGGCAGTGAAGAAAGCGAATGAGAAGAGACCATAAAGGAGAGAAAGTGGATGGAAAGGTGAAGCGTGTGAGTAGCTGAAGAGAGTAATCGAAAGCATTCTGTGTAACACAGAGACAGTGAAGATGAATGTGTGAGAGTGAAGGAGTGAGGGAATGTGTGTGGTGAAATGTGAACTTACCGAAGGGTGAAGGAGTAGATGAGTGAGCCGTGATGATCGTTGTCACTGTGGTAGTCGGTGTGGTCGTTGTGTTGTCTGTGATGTCTGTCGTCACTGTGGTTGTCGTATTCGCAGTCAGCATGGTCGGCGTGACAAACGTGACAGGCGTTGTCGTCTTTGCAGTGGCAGTGGCTGTGGCTGTGGCTATCGTTGTTGTTGTTGGTGTTGTTGGTGGTGTGGTTGTGGCTGTCACCGTTGTGGTCTGTTTGGTTGTTACAGCTGGTCGAGTGAATCGTGTTGAGATACTCGTGTCTGTCTCCTGCTCGATGCTGCTTCTCTCAGTCTCCACAACTGTCGATGTGTCTGTACAGAGGTGGACGAGAGGAGAGACAGTCAGTTAAACAGTTAAACACACATGCATAGTGATCACAATCTGCACACTTACATATATGAATATATCCACGTATATGTCTCCATGGTTGTCTAGGCTGGAATATATACTTTCTTACCTACTACCTCAGTGTAGACACTGATAACATCGACGGCAGTCTCATTTACTTTGGTTTAAATGACAAGTCTCCTTGTGTTTCATTCACCGAATCACATGAATGCTTCGTTCCCTTGACAAGCTACATGTATCCACCCTACCATAAACGAAGTAGATGAGGTTGCACTACATACCTATTGTAACTGTGATATCATCTACACAGACATTCTCTTCATGTTTCTCTTCAACATCACCACTCGGCATCACCAAGAGACGTGAAACAGGTACACATCCATCTTCAACCTCTCTATTCTCATGTTCATCTTGTTCTTCCCCTCGTCACGCAATGCAACAAATATAGCCTCACATAATTAGATTCGAAAGGAAAATCAAACACATTGTATTCTCCCAAGCTCTGGTCCATTCATAGACTTCGTCTTCTGATGTTAATATTGAGCTAGATACGAAATTCTCAGTCTCTTACTTCGCAACCACTGCCATGAAAATCTGGTGCTTAGTCTCCTATGTCTCCACACCGTTGATTTAGTTTTTGAGCTACGAACTTCCGAAATGTTTGATGAACCGAAAATAAGGCATTTCAATGTATAATTCTGGAATCTCTATCCATAGATGTATGCTGTGTCTCTGAGAGACTTGAGCGGTTATGAAGTAGGCCTCACCTGGACATTGAAGTGAATCTTGAAAATTCACATTACGAGTATTCGGAGACCGAATGGCTAGCTCTCGTGTACTGGCTGAAGTAGGCACATCATTGAGCTGTGTAGGCGAAAGCACACCTATCGATTGACTACTATCCAACAGACATCGATGTTCTGTTCGACTGAATGACTCGATAAGAACAAGGAGGAATGGTGAGACTGACGTACGCTTATTCGTTACCTATGACATCTCACACACCAACTGCAATTCGAGTGATGCGAAGAGTGAATTGTATATGAAGCTGTCAATTTTGTTATGCAAGGCAAAACATTCAGATGTATTCATAGTGTGAGGTGACTGTAACATTGTAATGGGAAGCTGAGCAAGTTGGAAAGGCATCTCAGAGGTATCCTCGGAATCCTGTGCCGATGAATCGACAAAGGTGATCGTCTGTTGCGACTTCGTTCTAACAAGTGCTTGTCTCTGGCCAGCAATAATTCCAAGCATGAGGAGGGAGACTGTCTCACTTGGCCTCCACCAACTTCAAGCCGATGATTAATCTTAGGAAAGCTGCGAATCAGGACCTTTTACAAGACAACCAACACTCTGAGTAATGCTCTAGTCCACGTATAGGATGAAGTTTCTTTTAACTCCACACAGAATTGTCTACAAATTAGGCTGTGTCGACTGTGATGCTTATTATGCTGGAGAATCATCCCGTGGGATCCTCATTAGGACTAAAGAACATGCAAGCTACACAAAACGACCGCCAAATAATCCTGTAGAACTAGAAAACCTACAAATCAATCGGCGATCGCAGTTCACGCCATCTATCACAGTCACAAAATCGATGTTGGAATTATTCAAGTTATTCAAAAGGGATTTTCAAACTACAAAGAAAGAAGAATAGCAGAGGCATTTCACATTATTTTGAATCCTAATGTACTCAACAGAAAGGAAGGCCTAACTGTCCAACCAACCTGGACAATATTTCCAAAAACAACCCATACAACACAATGATCTGATCAAAAGTACATGCACACAAACAAAACCAATTTGTCATTCATATTATTTTTTTAATATTTTTTCTTACACTTTCACATCCAGTTATTATTATTATTATTATTATTATTATTATTATTATTATTATTTATTATGATTATGATTATTATCATTATTAGTCCCTTGGGTTCCTAATGGAACATAGGGCTTCAGTAGCACGTCTCCATTCCACTCTCTTCTCTGAAATCTTTTCAACCTGGCTCCACGACAGCCCAGAAGCTCTCATTTCCTCCTCGCACGATCTTCTCCACGTCACCCTCACCACGGACGTCCAACTCGTCGCTTCCCATGGGGACTCCACTCGAGCAACTGGCCTGACGCGTGATGTCCCCTGTCGGCCTTCTCAGTGTATGCCCAATCCATCTCCACTTCCTTCCACCGCATATTTGTTGAGCGATAGGTTCTTGGTTGGTTCGTTGGCAACCAGCCAGAGTTCCTTGTTGCTTATTTTTACTATTCTGGCCATCTGATCTTCAGTAGCGAGCCAGCGTAAGCAGTTGTTGATGAATGTCTGTAGTTTATTGGAAATCCCTTTCGTGACGCACCAAGTCTCTGAACCATCACATTGAAGCACTGACTTGACTGACATTGGTGTTGAAAATCCGGATCTTGTTCGGCATGCTGAGTGCAGAAGATCTCCACACTGGTTTCAGGCTAATGAAAGCCTGTCTTGCTTTTCCGATCCTGACTTTGACATCCTCGTCTGTGCCTGTGCTGCCTGTAGTTGAAACAGTGCTGGCCAGGTGGATAGGTGAAGGAGGTTACTTCCTTTAAGTTTCTCCCGTTGATGGTGATTGGAGTTTGTTGTTGTTGTTGGAGTTGTTGGTGCGGTATCTTCATCACTTCTGCCTTCTCTATATTCACTTGAAGTCCCGTCTTCGCTGCCCTGCCCTGCCCTGCCCTGCCCCGCCTCTCCTGTCAACTTGTTAGTTTTCGCCTGCAGATCTTCAAGTTTGTGTGACATCAGGCACAAGTCATCGTTGGCGAAATCCAGATCTTCTAGGTTCTTTTCCGCAGTCCAGCCAGTGTATCCCCCTCTTCTCACAGCTCCTCACTGTTTGCTGCATGATCCAGTCTAGTCGACCGCAATCAGGAATATCATGGGTGATAGTAGGCAACCTTGTTTCACTCCTGTCCCCTGTCTTCACTTCGAAAGCATCATTGAGCTTCCCATTGTAAATTACTTGGCTGGCATATGGCGTCTTCATTTAGTTGTTGAATGAGGCTGATAAGGGTTTGCGGTATTCCGTAGTATTGAAGCAGTTTCCAAATTACCTCTAGGTCGACGCTGTCAAAGGCCTCCTCAAAGTCGATAAAGTTGAGGTGTAGAGTTGACTGCCATTCTATACTCTGTTCTATGATGATGCGTAGTGAAGCGTTGCAATTTGGTCGGCACATGATTTGTACTTCCTGAATCCAGCCAGCCTGCGTGTTCCGGTCGTAGTTTTGAGTCCAGTGCATCCTTTAGCCTCTCTCTCCAGGATGATGCGGCATAATATTTTGCTGGCACTGGGTGGACAGGAGAGTGACTCCGCGCCAGTTCTTGCAAACACTGAGGTCTCCCTTCTTCGGCAGTTTGACAAGGTAACCCTTCTTCCAATCAATTGGCAGGTACCTTCTCTTCCTTCCACACCTTCTGCAATAGTGGTGTGGTGTGAGCATGTCCGCTGTTGTCTCTGCGTCTGCTCTCAGTGCTTCTGGCGGGATTCCATCTGGTCCTGCCTCCTTCCCACATTTCAGTATCTTTATGGCGTTCAGGACTTCCATTTGTGTTGGAGGATTTATGTTCACTTGTAGTTCAGCGGTTGGGCTGCAGGTGGTATTTCTGGACGAAGTGCAGGTGGTGGTCGATTCAAGAGCTTCTTGAAGTGGTCGGCCCATCGTTTCCTTTGTTTCTCTTCTTTCGTAATTAAATTTCCATCATCATCTTTTATTGGCTTCGTCTGCTTTGATCTCTTCCCTTTCAGATAGCAACCTGGTTATTTGATACAATGTTGTCAGGTCTCTGTCTCTCCTACCTGCAGCAGCCTGTTCTGCTTCACTTGCCAGTCTTTCGTAGAAGTGTCTTTTGTCTTTGCGTGCACTCTTCTTCACTTCCTTGTCCAGTGTAGTGTTTTATACATTGTACCCAGTTCCTCTTGTCGTTGAGTATCCTTGCACTGCACTGGTTTATCTTCTGCTTCACCATCCTCCTCTCCATGCTCTATCAGCTTCCAGGTATCCGTCCAGATCCATTCCACTCCTTATCTTCTTTCTTCTTCCTTCCTAATACTGTTGTGCAGGTTTCTTTCCACACAGCTTTCAAAGACTTCCAGTGTTCTTCCACACAGGTTTCTTCAGGGATGTTCCTCGGTATCTCCCATTTTGTCTTGATGGCTGGCTGCCGTGAAGATCTCCTTTGTAGTTTCATCCTTCAGTTTCCGAGTGTTGTACTTGAATTGAGGTCTATCACCAGCTTCCTTGAAGGCTTTCAACTTGATTTGGAAGGCAGGTTCCTTGCACTAGATAGTGAGTGATATGAACCTACATCTGCTCCTCTTCTTGACCTTGTGTCAAGTAGACTGCGTCTCCATTTTCTTCACATTGAGATAAAGTCGATTTGATTTTTAGTGTGTCAATCTGGTGAAATCAACTCCATGTCGCTTTGTGGATATCCTTGTGCTTAAACACACTGTCTGTCTCCAATCACCAAACCGTTGAATGCACAGAATTCTGCAAACAATTCTCCATTCTCGTTCATCACCTCACCGAGCGCTTCTCGACCCATGGTTAGTTCTCTTCTTGTGTCGTCCGCTCCCAGTTTGGCATTCATGTCACCCCACCCATTAGAATGAGTTTTGATATCGCCAACTGATGTTGGGTCTTGTCCAGTGTTGATTGAAGTTGTCTGTAGAATTCCTCCTTTTTCTCTTGATCTTCAATATTTGTAGGTGCGTAGCCTAGCATTGTATGATTGTGACCTTCCTTCCTTCCTTTTGAGTTGAACCCGTCTTGCTGTCATGATCCTGCATGAGGAGATTGGTTGCCACTGCATGAGAGTCTTCGATGCTGTTGGGGATATCATGATAGCCACTCCAAAACTCAGTGTGCTCGTGGTTGGCGTCTGGGTGACAATATCGGAGTAGATTATTGATTCTCCAGTTGACAGTTTGGAGAGTCCACTCCCATTCCATCTGATTTCGCAAATCCCAAGCACCTCGATGTTATACCTTCTCATCTCCTTTGCAATCTGGGCTGCTTTACTGGGTTCAAACATCGTACGGACATTCCATGTCCCCACGTTTACTTTCGCTTTCATCGAGAGAAGACACATCGGCCAATTAGCTTTCCGAAGGCTTTCACCAACTGGCGTCATTTCGCCTCTCCGATTCCAGCGAGGAATAAGTTTGTTTTCATTTTTTATACTTTGTTTTTGCTTTGAAGTTTGTTTAGCGGTTAGATTTGTTTTACGGGGTAGGGTTGGTAGCCCTATGCCCAACCTTCCCTCTTTAGCCGAGTTAGGACCGGCTAGTAACTAGTAAACTAGTTAACCAGGCGAGGTTCCTAGTCTTGATGAAAGGAGAGAAATTCGGTTGTGATGACCTAAATGGATGCAGTCTCACTTTGGTGAGTTATTCGGCATATTTATTCCGTATCACACGAGTCGAAGCTGAATAATCAGCTGTGTATACACCAATTAACAATAATTCGTCTTCCTATATATTGCATTACAACATGTCTACCGATGACGCAATTGCCCTAGCTGTTGCCCTGTCACAACCACACTCGGAACAACTCAATCTTCTCGCACATTTCAAATTCTAATTCTCAATTCCTAACCTGCATTCCACGAAGCCTGAGACATTGGTGTTTACTATCTCTCTGTTTAGAGACTCTTCACTTACCTCTCACTTGAATCTCAATTACCTCTCTCTCGCTCTCTCCGTCACTGCTAACTGGCGACATTCACCGATACGAGTTATTTATCTCTGGTTGTCGTCATCCAGCATCCTTTCTCATCTCCACGCATCACCTCGAAGGAATTGCTTATTTAACGGTGGTGTCCTGGGTGACATGCATACAGGTGTTCATATCTTCAGTGTCCCTAGGTGTGTTCAGCATGAGATACTGAAGAGGAGGGAATTTCGACCACTCTGCTATCCACACATTCAGCTGAAGATCGAGGAGATTGAGAGACGGCGAACAAAAGAATGTGAAGGAATCAGGAAGAAGCGGTGCTGAGTGTTCGTCAATTTCCAGATGGTCACTTGCACATAAGTGTCGGCGTGTCTGCGTGTCTGTGTGTCGGTGTTCAAAATCATAGGATAAGAGTTGAGAGTGAGGAAAGTGGAAAAGCAGGATACCACACTATCGTGGAACCATCTCTTCCATGTGAACACATGTTCGACAATATGCAAGAAAACTGTCATTCAGAGAACAAGTTTCGACCTACCCATAGTTATGGTTGATGCAGTTGAGGAGAGTGGAGTGGCCTGCTTCGAGACATCGGCGTCACTCTGATGAGAGCTGCTTCGCATCGTTGAAATTCCTGTCGATGAGCCTGTTGATAAAGACAAATGGAAGCATGACAAACGCATAGAAACACAGAAAGGTGAATGGTATGAATCGATTGGTCATGAGTGAGAATGCATTGCATCTCGACTGGCCATCTGCATGAGCACGCCTGTTTCACGACAGAGACACAATGCCTCGAGACGAACACAACGACAACCACAACAACTCAACAGGCCCACGTCCACTGCACTCAAATAAACGTGCACACACACACACACACACACACACACACACTCACGTAGCACACATAATATTGCTCACCAACCACACCACAATGGTGAACAGACCTGCACTACCATTTGAAAAATTCATTCACAGACATTCATCTGCACACAACCAAGTCGACGAGTAATACCGAGAACTTGTTCATCATCTCCTCTCAGCTCGCTCAACTAAACACAAGCAAAGCCAATATGTGCTGAGATACACTAGGGGAAAAGCCAACAAGCACGGGTGAGAATGACATCGTCCCACCCACCTGAACAATATATCGAGCGAGCAACAATGATTATGCGAAGTAACACGAATCACCAGAGACTGCCAACAGGCAAACCGATGGATGCAGCACACTTCCCACTGTCTGTCCACTACACTGCCAACACACTCGATTCACACTCACACTGAAGTACACAGAAAACAATGATCAATGACTCACGGTATGCTGTGATATTTCTCAGACTCGGTCCACTGGTAATATTGAGCCTGCTGCAGCCACGAACCAGTATGTCAGTCATGTCCACTTGACTCAGCTGTGAAGCTCGTGGTGAATGGAACTGCACACTCAGCATGGCTTGCACACCGTCGATCGACACACGATCCACTCCACCTCCACCTCCACTCACATATATCCAGATGAAGATTCGAAGGAAGCTGACATGCACACAGCTGGCACCTCGAGAGACCTCTTCATCACCGATCTGAAGACCCCTGAGTACCTGGAAGATGGAAGACGAGAGAAGCAAGGACAACAACACAGTCAGTCATGTATCTCGATCACACTATATTGAAATGTTACTGTTCCCAATGGTGATAATTGTAGTATGCATAGTAGTTCGATTGCATATGATCGTTGACTTGATCGGTGTGCGCAGAGTCATCTGCACCAATATGCTTGATTCCAGACTGATTGCCATTGGCCGTCGGACAACAGACACACAATTCACGTCTCTATGAATGAAGTCAGACTGACTCGGCTGGCGAACACTACCATCGCGTCGTGCGCAAGAGTGTTAGGCAAGCGAACAACGGGTGGATGGTCGAATCAGTGGAAGGATCAATGCATATCGCAACGCCTACACACAACCATTCACAACATTCACCCACACATTTGCATACACTGCCATGAGCAAACGTGCTCACGCTGACACTGACGCTGACGCGACGCTCACGCACACACACGCAGGCACACGCAGGCACACGCACAGAGATGAAGAAAATATGGTGAGGATAAGAAATCAACACCTACCAGGTCACAAGACGACATTGACAGGCTCCTGAACTCGGCACTCGACTGATTCAACAGATTGACTGTCCAAGGCATGGGGGTTGACAGCTCCTCAACATAGATGATGACATCCACCTCGAACGATGTGGTCACTACATGTGGTTAAATGAAGGGGGTGAAACGAAATGAATGAATAAATGAATAAATAAAGTGAGTCAGTGAGTCAGTGAGTGAGTGTGTGTGTGGAATGAGTAGAATGATGTGTTCGCCAAGTGTTCACACAATTCTGATGTGACGAGTGGAAACTGTCTGGCTGCTCTCGATGGCTGACGCATTGACAACTGATTTGTTCACAGTCATCTCGTCAAGTCGAAATGTTAGGTAAAGGCGATTCTGGATCGAGTGGGTTACACTCGATTGAGGAAGAGGTGTTGGAGAACAGCTGAACACATATATGGTAACCACAACCTACGAGGCACATGCATGTGCTCATCACAAGTTGGATTTCTGCTGGCCTCCTCACATCTCTGCCAGTCAATCATTCAGTCAGATAGCCAGCCTTCCAGCTGGCCTGTCTCTCTGCATACATTCATGAATGCATACTTGACCGTGTTTTATCATTGTAATCTACTCTCAATGAAGTTGCTCGCTATTCGTGACTTCAATTGACGTTTACTGATGAATGACAATTTACGACTGAAACGTGATTGGAGCGTGGGTGACTTGTCGTAGGCTAGCAGATACACAATGACTAGTAGAGCAAATTTTGCAAATGCTTGTATACTTATGAACTGCAGCTGTCAAACTGCTGAAAGCAATGCATGTTGTCACATCTTGACTTGTTCATCGTTGGCTGTAGAGGGCTACGTTATTGTTGTTGTTGCTGTTGTTGGCGAACGGTGTGACAATGAACTTCAGTTTGCATCCACTTCACTATGGTGAGTGATAGCATGTTGAGAGAGTGAGTGAAGATGAGGAATCTGGAAGGTGGTGGTTATCTGTTCACGCAGTATTTAATCTCAGTAAGGCTGAGAAGTGTCTTGTTGCCATTGATCACTCGAGAAATCATTGTTGGTTTCCTCGGTGCGATGCACTGTTGAGTGTCTCAGATCGTGAAGCTTCATGTGTGGGTTCGCTGTTGAGGTTGACAAGTTGTGAAATCTCTGTGGTATCAGACACGGAAGGAATGTTTCTGCACCTGCAGGACCAGATGTTTCGAGGTTTCTGTAGTTGTTGGATGGTGCAAGTGTGAATCCAGTGTGGTAGTGAGTGACGGTGGCTGTGTGTGAAACAACCACTTGACCACTTCGTGCTAATTCGGTACTATGCAAGGTCAGCTGGATATTCGTCTCTTGTGGCTGACTGTCAGGAGATGTCACAGAATTCATTGTGTCCTCAGATGACATTCAGTGAGCAGGAGACTTTGTATTGGATAATTGATGAGACTTATGCAAGGTGGGATTCTGCCGACCGACATGGATATCAACAACCTAGCTGCTCATCGACAAATGAATCGGGAGTACCGCACTTGAACACTGAGAGATTTGTCAGCCGACAATTTGTATGTGGACCGTGTGATGGACTAGGCTGGGATGTTGTTGATTCACTGCAGTTCTATACATGAGGAAGATTATGAGATGTTTGTCATAGCACTAGAATCATTTGGAATTGATGACAGAGTGTTTGTTGTCCAAACGATATTCAGTTTAGCACTCTGTGTGGATTGATTGGGCCACTCAATCAGTAGATTTGAAAAGAGTGTGATTTTAGTAGGTTGTAGCTAACAATGCATCTTGTGAGTGTATTTTGATGAATGTGGATAAGTGAGTGTGTATTGCATTAGGAAATGGTGGGTGGGTGGCGAAAACACACACGTAAGATCGAACGAAGTAGGAGATGTGGTAATGATAGCGAACAAACAGGCTAGCTGGTAGGTTCATAAGATTTTATGAATGTTAATCTGATGAGATGATAATCGTGGGATCACAATGAGCTGGATTTGACGTCAGAGACCTTGAGGTTCTATCACCATTCAGGTAGCCACATTTTGTGGGATGTCAGAGACAGTGGGACAGTAGTTCTGAAGACATTCTGAGTGTTGAGGCTGGCAAGTGAACAAGACACTTTGACAGTGTCTTTCGTCAAACCTGGATAGGGTAGTGTGCATTGAATTGACATTCGTGAGATGAGTGGCGAAATCTCACAAGCAAGTTTCAAGTAGGAGATAGAGTTTCTATGGTGGAGGGAGGTTCTTCATTTCACGGGACTATATGTGTGTGATTATGCGTGGTTATCCGAATGAAGAAGATGGTTTATTGAATACCGTTAAAGAAGGAAGGAAAGGTAGAAGGGCTGTTATGTATGAGCATGGATTTTGTCCAATGGAGCGTGTGAAGGAGGAGAAATGTGGTTGTGATGTAGACGGTGTAGACGAATCCCACACTTCCCAGAATAGTCAATGAGAGAGAGAGAGAGAGAGAGAGAGAGGAGATTGCACCACGATGAGGTCATTGGAATTAGGTGTAATGTGAGTGTGGAATGGAAGTCATAGTGCAGCACTGACACATGAGTTGGATATTTGAGTTGGAATCCAGTGATAATCGTTTGTTTCGGTGTTCAGTGTGGTTGATATATTAGGTGCGTTATGACAAATATGATACGGTCAGCAACTGTGTTCATGCCTGTTGGAATGTGTAGGTCATCCGGAAGTTGTCAGCATGATTTCAACGTGTGTAGTCTGACCAAGCAGCTGTCACATGTTTCTGTTGCAAATTGTACTCCATGGAGTTGATGGAGATTTGGCTTTGCGTCTTTCACTCATTTCTCCTTCGTATCTTCATCGTTTAGTACTTGCAAGTTGAAGGAATGGAATGCAATGTGCGATAAGGCTGTGTTTAGTTAAAGAATCGAGGGTGATGTTGAGCTGGAGATGTTTCGGTGAGATGAAGGATTGTGTGGTGGGAGATGCGTTGGAGTATGCTTCGGATGGAATTGGATGCAAGCATCCGTGTTTGAGATAATGATGAGAAGTGTAGGAAAGCAAAGGAGAATTGCATTGATTAGGCATATCCTGGTTGTGAGATGTGGGGAGATATGGGCTATGTGGTAGAAAACGTGATCAACATCAACTGGTATCAATCAGATGAGTAGTTCGGTGGATATGCCACAATATGTTGTTGTTGTTCCTATTGTGTGAGTGTTTTTTTTATCATCATTTAGCACTGGTGTTGAGAAGAACATCTGTGTTGCAAAGTATCTGGAATGAATGTAGGTGAACAACGAGGATGAATGTTTGCGTATTAGCACACTAGACATCCATGTGAGGTTATGTTATTGGGTTGAGAAAATGACACCTGTCTAATAGGTCGTTCATAGAGGAATACGAGAAGAAAATATATTTTGTGCGAACACTCGGATTTCCTATGAGGTCAGATGAAACATGCCAAGAGCTTTGACGTGCATGAATGGTCTATTTTCTGTGAGGGTGAATGAATTTGGAGACTGGTAACGAGTAAAACGATGATGCAATGAAATTTGCACACAGTGTGAAGTCTTACGTGTGATTAGCGAAATAATAAGACACGTGAAATTGGAAGCGCGATAAGATGTAGCTATTGAAACAACCAAAATTAGGGTAAGCCGTGAGAACCGAATCCTGGAAGAGAGAAATGCTGAGTGAGAAAAAGTAGAAGAAATAAGTTGATAATAGGGGTGAGGATGGAGATTCCAGAGATCAGTGAAGAATAATGATGAAGGGCATGGAGGCAGTGAAGAAAGCGAATGAGAAGAGACCATAAAGGAGAGAAAGTGGATGGAAAGGTGAAGCGTGTGAGTAGCTGAAGAGAGTAATCGAAAGCATTCTGTGTAACACAGAGACAGTGAAGATGAATGTGTGAGAGTGAAGGAGTGAGGGAATGTGTGTGGTGAAATGTGAACTTACCGAAGGGTGAAGGAGTAGATGAGTGAGCCGTGATGATCGTTGTCACTGTGGTAGTCGGTGTGGTCGTTGTGTTGTCTGTGATGTCTGTCGTCACTGTGGTTGTCGTATTCGCAGTCAGCATGGTCGGCGTGACAAACGTGACAGGCGTTGTCGTCTTTGCAGTGGCAGTGGCTGTGGCTGTGGCTATCGTTGTTGTTGTTGGTGTTGTTGGTGGTGTGGTTGTGGCTGTCACCGTTGTGGTCTGTTTGGTTGTTACAGCTGGTCGAGTGAATCGTGTTGAGATACTCGTGTCTGTCTCCTGCTCGATGCTGCTTCTCTCAGTCTCCACAACTGTCGATGTGTCTGTACAGAGGTGGACGAGAGGAGAGACAGTCAGTTAAACAGTTAAACACACATGCATAGTGATCACAATCTGCACACTTACATATATGAATATATCCACGTATATGTCTCCATGGTTGTCTAGGCTGGAATATATACTTTCTTACCTACTACCTCAGTGTAGACACTGATAACATCGACGGCAGTCTCATTTACTTTGGTTTAAATGACAAGTCTCCTTGTGTTTCATTCACCGAATCACATGAATGCTTCGTTCCCTTGACAAGCTACATGTATCCACCCTACCATAAACGAAGTAGATGAGGTTGCACTACATACCTATTGTAACTGTGATATCATCTACACAGACATTCTCTTCATGTTTCTCTTCAACATCACCACTCGGCATCACCAAGAGACGTGAAACAGGTACACATCCATCTTCAACCTCTCTATTCTCATGTTCATCTTGTTCTTCCCCTCGTCACGCAATGCAACAAATATAGCCTCACATAATTAGATTCGAAAGGAAAATCAAACACATTGTATTCTCCCAAGCTCTGGTCCATTCATAGACTTCGTCTTCTGATGTTAATATTGAGCTAGATACGAAATTCTCAGTCTCTTACTTCGCAACCACTGCCATGAAAATCTGGTGCTTAGTCTCCTATGTCTCCACACCGTTGATTTAGTTTTTGAGCTACGAACTTCCGAAATGTTTGATGAACCGAAAATAAGGCATTTCAATGTATAATTCTGGAATCTCTATCCATAGATGTATGCTGTGTCTCTGAGAGACTTGAGCGGTTATGAAGTAGGCCTCACCTGGACATTGAAGTGAATCTTGAAAATTCACATTACGAGTATTCGGAGACCGAATGGCTAGCTCTC